CAAACAATATAGCATAGAAGTTGAAAATAATAGATTATATTTTCATTGCCTGTTAGATAGCTTATTGTACTGTTGTCGACAAGGTATTGCCGTTAGGGGTCATCGGGAAGATGTAACTCGTTAAATAAAGGTAATTTCTTGGAACTTATGGAATTAAGAGCTAAAGATAATACTATTATTAAACAATACTTTATTGAAAAAGAAAAAAGTTTTAGATATGTAAATCCTACATTCCTTCATACTAAAATATGTTTATAGAGTACATGAGGAAAGATGTTTTACAATCAATAATTAGAGATATCCAGGATTCCAAATTTTTTAGTATTATGGTTGATGAAACACAGGACTTGGCTAAGCATGAGCAAGTGGCCATATGTATTCGATATGTTTCAAAACTATTTATTACCCATGAAGTTTTCTTGGGCTTTTATCGCACCGATAAAACTGATGGTGAAACGTTAGTAAATCTTATAAAACAGTTTTTACAAACAAATAATTTAAGTATTCAAAACATCAGAGGACAGTGTTACGATGGTGCTGCATCTATGCGAGGTTCATATACAGGTGTCCAAGCTAGAATCCAATCGGAAAATAAATTTGCTATTTATGTGCATTGTTATGTACATATTTTAAATTTATGTCTTGTAGACCTTTCGAAACAAACATTATTTGTAAGAAATACATTTGGAACTCTACAAACTTTATATTCATTTATGGGTGCATCATCAAAGAGAAATAGTGTTTTTGAAAAAATATTATCAACAAGTTCAATAAATGTGTCTCAAAAAACTAAATTAAAATCTTTAAGCGATACAAGGTAGAACTGTCGCATTGAAGCAATCAATTCAGTTATTAACACTTTGCCTGTTATTGTTCAAACACTACAAAATATTTCTGATAATGATGTGAATTATGGATCAGAAGCAAACAATTTATTGAATTGCATACTTAATTTTGAATTTATATTTTGTTTGTTTTTATTAAAAACTGTGCTTAAACAAACAAACATACTCTCTAAATATTTACAGTCACCATCAATAAACTATGCACTTGTTAAGGAAATGTCAATCAAAACTTACGACTCATTGCAAGACTTACGTTCAGATGAAAGTTTCAATAAATGTTGGGAATCCTCGCAAGATTTGGTAAAAAATAATGGATTTCTACCACCAAACCTTCCTCGTAATAGAAAGATTTCCTATAAAAAACTTGGAGGTGGTCATGTTTTCCAGAGTTTCATGATGAAAAGTCCTATTACCGGATCTCCATTTATTTTCCAGTTTTGGATATTGTCATGAAAGAAATCAAAGATAGATTCAACGAAAATGATCTTTCCATATTAAACTCACTGATGGAAACACTGACAAATGAAAGCCCTAGTCAATCTTCAATTCAAGAAGTGTGCAAATTCTATGGACCAAATGAAGATGACTTAACTGCTGAATTAAAAATATTTAACAAAATGTTTAAAGGCTATGGCAAAGTAAATAACATTGAAAATAGAATATTATATTTGAAAAACAAAGATATTCAAAATGGTTTCCCAATTATAGTTGAATTGTTACAAATTTTTTTAACCATTCCCACTAGCAGCGTATCATGTGAAAGGTCATTTTCTTGTTTAAAAAAACTAAAAAACTACTTGAGAACTACTATAGGTCAAGAACGTCTTTCTAACATGGCTATATTATACATCGAAAGACAAAGAGAAGTAAACAACGAACAAATAATCAATCTTTTTAATAAGAACAAAAACCGAAAAATAGATTTAGAATAGTAATTATTTTTAGTAATTTTTGTATTGTAAGAGTTCCTATTATATTTATTTAAACTAGTCACTAAAACTGAAATGTGATATGATAAATACAATTTATAAATAAATTATAATGTAATTTTTTTTATTAGCCCACATAGCCACCTATTTGTGCTAATGGAAAAAGGTTAAAAATGTATAAAAGTGTTCGCTACCCCAAAAATTTGCTGCTAGTTACGCCACTGATCAGCTGCACCATGTTTTTTTAACACAAAAAAATCCCAAAAAGGATTCTTTTACTTCCACAATCTTTTGTTCAAAATCTACCTTAGTGTACCGAATAACGAGACTTACTTGATCTTTTTTTGTTATATCCTGGGTGGAATCTAATATAACTGAAAAAACAACTAGATTTAATATAATTGCAAATTGTACGCCTCAAATCTATCGCTAAAATGTCAATCAATTCCTTTTGTATAGCCCAACTTAAATACTTTATCTTCTGTTATTCATTACTTAATAAATTGTTTAAAATAGGATCAAATTGAGCAAGTAATATTACAATCCTCAAAAAATTCCCTTCAGTTGGATTTTGAATTTTTAAACTTACCTCATTTGCCCTTAAAAAGTATTTCCTTAAGTTATTGTAAGAATAATTTGTATTAAACGTTTAAGAACATTTCTCCAATTGGTAGCTACTTCTGAATACTGTCTTTCTAAATTTGCATCTACTGTTTGATTTTTGACCAACAAATTATGAACTTTAAGTGCATCAAAATGTTGAATACTTTGTAACGTCACAGTATTTTTTGTACCAATATTATTATAAATACAAACATACCTGTACCCATATTGCCACTAATAAGCGTACCTTATTTATACATTATTATGATTATCGCGCACTAATGCAGAAATTACCGCAGTATTATGCAATTAATGTTCCCCGTCCCCCCCTTCACCATGCAGTGATTGTCGCCGACGTGCCGCGGTTGTCCGCCGCCCGTCGCCTCCAGCGCTTTCGTCGCGTCCGCCGGTACGGCCCGCAGGCAATTATACCGTACACCCCAAAATATTGTAAAGTCCCGTAATATACCTACCCTGACCTTCCCCACTACGACATCAATTGGACAACACCAACCAGCGACCGGACGCCGTCGGCCAGCGGTTATCACTCATTTTTTCTGACTGAACCAGACATCAACGTCTCAGCTGTTTACCGTTTCTTTTTTTTTTGGCTCGCTCACCCTCGTGGTCGAACGTCCGACCGAAAAGACAAAGTCTTTTTTATTGTTATTATTTTTTCATTTACATCAACGCTGTAACGTCCGCCATGAGGGGCTAAACACTAACGCGGGCCCGATGTGGGAGAAGCCGCCGTCCTACCAGTGATTGACGCCGGTGGGCCATGTCGATCACGTGTATGTGTGTCGACGGTCACCCGACCAGCCTACCACAGCCGTCAATCAATCACATCAACAACTCCAGTCATCAGCGTGGAGGTCACGTCAATTGCGTAATATATCTCTCCGAAAATCCATGTTCCCCCCAAAACCCTTATTATATTGTTCTCTAATATGCATATTATTTAATAGGCCTGTTTTTTTTTTTCTTTTTCTCTCTCCCGTATTTACCGTCCTTAGCGATATGCCGGACGGTAACCCAACGGTCGGCGAGGTAACATAATAAAATATCATCTTCACAGTCCGTCGAACCTCGCGGGCCGATCCGAAGATTCGTTGTTTCCTCATATTATATTATTCCTAATGTTTGTCAGGTGCCTCCCGGAATTATACTAAAACAGTATGCTCCCTTTTATTATCAAACTATTGTAATTCTGTGTGCGAGAGCCACATTAAATTATTAATTCCATTATGTTAAACATTAAATTATACCCACGTGATCACCCTAATATTCTATATTCTCATTATTTATTGATATTATATTTTTTTTCTTCTTTAAATAAATCTTTGACGTTCATTCGTCACTGTGTGTATCAAAGCCTGTGAGTTCCAACGACTTGGCCCTTGGGTCATCACGCGGTGCGGCTCACAGGTCGTGAGTAAAGTGTTCCCCTTTACTCATGGGTGGTTTATTGGGACCGTAAAAATCCCGTACTCTCACAACTTGTTTCGTGTCTTCGTATACCATTGAGACAAGTGCTGCCAGTCATTAATGCCATTAATCCATTCAGATTTGAAATTTCCATAAGTCCTATTAGCGAAGAGCCAGCATATTTCAAAATAAGTTTTATCAAGAACAATTCAGTAACATAACCAGAGTCTAGGCATTTTTAACCCAGATTTCATAGTAACTTGATAATATTGTGTAGAAAACTGTCTTCCGTGGATATTTGATGGAAAATTTGTTGTTGGCTTATAAGGTCCAAAATTCAGTATACTTCTTTTTAAGATGTCATTAATATTTTCTTAAAATAAACCTCGATCTGTTGGATATTTTTCATTAAAATTTAGACAATTTTTTGGAATTTATTGGTCTTTACACGCTTCTAAAAAAAAATCAAAATCAAAAAAACAATTAAATATTTTTTAAATATATTAAAAAATAATTAAATTATAAAAACGATTTATAACAAATAAATAAATGTAATGTACTCATGCACATACACTTAAATACTTAAAATTGAGAAGTTCACGTATTTATGATACAATAATTAGGTAGTATAGGAATATTAAATATTATTATTACACAACTTGCAGTACATTATTGTCAAAAAAAAATAACAACAAAAACATGTATGATGTTTTTACATACAATTGTATTTATTTAGGCATAATGTATGATGCTTTATCAGAACTGGCAGACTTATCTTTACAACTCCAAAATAGGAATATATCTCTTTCAGTAGCAAATAATTATATTGAACGTGCAATTTGTGTGTTTGATTCCATGTCTGAACCATATGGACCAAAAACAGAAGATGTGGTTGATGCATGTTCAAAATTAATGTTTAACCCGTCGTTACTCGCACGGGGTAAATTATGACCCCAGCTTATTTTTACTTATGTAATTATGATAGTTTGAATGAAAATAAATGTTTGTACATTTCTATAGCTTCTTATAATAGGTTTATAAATAAAATGTTATCGGTTTTGGGTTATCTTGGTTTGTCGTTAATTTGCTAGAACGTCTTTAAGTGATTGGTGTCAGTGTGTGAAATTATTTTTTCCTGTGCACGTAATTTGTTCTTAGTTTTTTGTTTATTCTTACTCGTATTTCAAAATTTAAAATGGACGAATTTGAAAGACGACGTATAGAACATCTTCTTGATACGTTCAGTGATGAAGAAGTTTGGGGCGGTGTGTCAGATGATGAAGATGCTGAAGAATCAACAACAGAAAATATGAGTGAAAATATTACAGACACAGAACAGTCAGATTTAGAAAGCAATTCTTCTGACAGTATTATTGATTATTCTAATTCAGATTTGTCCTATCATGAATCTGATGATGAATTACCTTTGAATTTACGCAAAAAATATTTCGTGGGAAAGGATGGAACTAAATGGTCACGTAGACCACCAAACCAAAGAATTCGAGTCGCATCAGTAAACCATGTAACTGAAAAACATGGTGTGACAGAAATTGCCAAAAATACAAAAACTATTTTAGAAGCATGGAATTTATTTTTCCCATTGGAAATGATTGAACATATAGTTGAATGTACTAATATTTATATAGACCTAAATATTCGATCAAAATTTGGAAGGGAGAGAGACGCTAGACCTACAAATGTCATCGAAATAAAATCAGTTTTTGGAATATTATATACAATAGGTAAATATTATTTTTATTATTATCTATTATACACATTTATTTCCCAAGTTTTATTTTTATATATATATATATATATATTATTATTATACTGTATACACTTTATATACTGATACTATTTGATTGCACAATAATAGTAATGTAACCACGATTAGAACTATTATCTTATCTTACTAATTTACGTACTTATTTCTGTATAACTCATTGTTGGTAAGTATAGTTGTGTTGTTAGCATTATTGATAGTAATATATAGTTATAAACATTTTATAAGTGGGTTTTTTTCAAGATTTCAATATCAACTAATACTTATAAAAAATATTCATTTATTTATTTATTTTTTATAGGGGCTCTAAAAAACGGACATCGAAAAACACGAGATATTTGGTCAAATGATGGTTGTGGAATTGATATTGTTATGTGTGCTATGTCAGAAAATCGATTTTTGTTTTTACTGAGATCAATCAGATTTGACGATTATCGAAGTCGCGAGGAACGCAAAAAAATCGATAAAATGACTCACATACGTAAAGTTTTTGATGATTTTGTACAAAACTGTAAAATGAACTATAAAATTTCTGAGTATGCTACATTAGATGAAAAATTACAGTCTTTTCGAGGTCGCTGCCCATTTAGACAATATATGCCAAACAAACCAGCGAAATATGGCATCAAAATATTTGCACTAGTGGACAGTATAAGCTATTACACATCGAACTTGGAAGTGTACACTGGAGTTCAACCTGACGGACCATTTCGTGTAGATAATTCAGCTATTTCTGTAACCAAACGTCTTGTACTCCCAATTTTGAAAACAGGTAGGAACGTAACAATGGACAATTGGTTTACTAGTATCCCTTTGGCAAAAGATATGTTGAATAATAAATTGACTATTATTGGAACTCTAAAAAAAAATAAAAGAGAAGTACCGCCTTCTTTTGTATGTAATAAAAATCGACCAGTTTTTGGATCATATTTTGGATTTCAAAAAAATAAAACTTTAGTATCTTATAAAGCGAACAAAAAGAAAACTGTATTGTTACTTTCAACAATGCATAGTGGAAAAATAATTGACGAAACTACTGCTGAAAAAAAAAAACCTGAAATAATAACTGCATATAATTGTACAAAAGGAGGTGTGGACACCATGGACTTTATGTCAGAAAACTACAGTGTTGCAAGAGCTAGTGCACGTTGGCCGTTGACTATATTTTATGCATTGATGAACAATGGCGGAATAAATGCGCAAATAATATATCAAGAAAATACCAAGAATAAAATAACTCGTCTCCAGTTTCTGAAAGCATTAGGTAAAGAGTTAATGCAAGAAAATGTAAAAATTCGTGCTACAATTCCAGCTGTTCGCTTACAAGTCAAATCAATGATAAAAAAATATTTCGATGTACAAGAAACCATACAAAATGTACGCTCAAAAGGCCGGTGCTCATTTTGTGAAAGAACTCGTGATCGCAAAACAACAAAGGTTTGTACAACGTGTGTTAAATTAATATGCCGTGATCATATAATCGAAGTATGTCCCGATTGTTACGCCATATAAGTATCTAAATAATAATGTGTAAAAATAATTTTATTTTAATAATTTTAAAAAATTTTGTTTATATAAATATAAATTAAGTATAAATAAAAGTAATAATAATTATAATCTATTCATTTACTATAACTATAACTATAACAATACTTTTATCTATTAATTTAAACAACACATGGAAAAAAAATACCCCGTGCGAGCAAAGATAACATTAGAAACAGTGCGAGTTATGACGGGTTAAAGATGTTCCGTTAACAAATAACCATAGTGTTCCAAAAATTAACTCAGGACAGTTTTTCAAAAGTCTAGCCAACAACATGCGTTCTAGGCTATTTACTTTTCAAGCATCTCATTCAACAACAGCAGGTAAAGTATTTAAAGAAAAATATAATAAGCTCCTTAAAGACTTGAATGTACTGAATGTGCAAAATTGACCGGATAAGTATGATATTCAATATGGTGACAAGAATGTAAGAAGGTTGGCTATAAAATTTCAAGTAGATGAAACATCTACCATTAGAGGTTTTCGAGAGTTTTAGGACACGAAAAAATTATCACTAATTCACTCATTAAGACCATTAATAGTTGCAAATAACACAATAGCAATTTCATCTTCTGAATGCGAAAGAAGTTTTAATACCATGAATAATACGGTCACTTAGAAAAGAAATGCATTAACGCTTAACCATATTTCATCAATGTTATTAATACAATGTGTAGGTCCAACCACTAATAGTTTTATACCAATTAGCTACGTAAAATCTTGGATACTAAAAGGTAAAAGAGATGCAGCAGAAAACTGTTGTCCAAAAAGATTAAAATTGGAAGATAAGAAAGATACGTCTTATGATAATTTATGGAATTATTTAAATAAATAGTTATCATCAATTGTTTTTTATTTAGTTACTTTTTTGAGTTTGTTATAAACAAATATTAGTTATAATTAAAATATAAAATATAATATTTATAGTCAATTTTTTAAATTTGTTTATTTATAAATATTTTTCATATGATTTAAAGAGGGGTATAAGTGGTGTGGGGGCGTAGGCCCCACGGCTTAGTAACGTTTAACAAGTGATGGGGACGCTCTTCTTTTTTAAAGTTAACAGAGTCCTCCTACTTTAATTTTGCCAAGTCTAGCACTGTTTATGCCCGTGTGGAAAGGGGAGACGATCCGCATGTCTCTGGCAGTGCGCCGTGTCCTGCACGTACGCCCTCTAGCCACACGCCCATTCCGCTATGGTTTTAAAATCAGGGGTCCGGGTCGTCCCCTACATCTTTACGTTCTAGAACTTCCCGGGAGAAGGTTTTGAACACAAGAAACATGGCCTCCGTAGAGGTCATGGTATCGCAGTCGCACGGCTAGTCCACACCTTCCGCTTGCGCTGCAGCTGCGAGCTTGTCTCTTTTCTGGCTATATATTGAGCAATAGAATAGCACATGCTCCGCGGTTACCTCTGGGAGACCGCATCGGCAACGTGCCTCGCCTCGGAGGTTGAAACGACAGACACGAACTGCGAGATGTAGTGATCCGGAACGAACCACGGCTTCTCCAGTCTGTGCCGGATGTCCGGGAACCAAACCGCCGTCCGCCTACCTTTGTCGCTGGCAACCCATCTTTCCTGCCAGAGGCGTATGGTAGTGTCATAATACTGTTTTGCCATTCCAGCAACGTCTGACGCCGGCTTGTTTCCTTTCCTCACGGCGCCTTATCCCTTTCGATCTTAGCCAGCCGAACTAGTTCTAAGTCGAGGGGAGGTACTCCGGCTATGACCTGGAGCGCCATCGTCGACGTGGTCTTACACGTGCCTGTCATTGCCAGTAACGGGCGTCTTTGAGCGGTGTTTACCCGTGTCTTGTGTCAGTACTGGGCCATGCAACGCTCGGGCCATACCAAGGCCGCATACCCCATACGCGGCAAGAACACCGATTTGTACAGGATCCTTATTGTTCTTTCATTAAGGCCCCAGCTTTTCGCCCGTTTTTCCGGCCTTTGGAGACCTCTTTCCGTCGCATTCTCTACGCTGTAGCCGAGAGCAGGTCTTTCTTGTCTTGTCCGCGCCCGTTTTTCACGTGTATTAAAAAAAAACAGATCACGAGAGTCTGCTCTCGAGTCATTTTAATACTTTTAATCACATACATTTGGGGCGATATCATGATATGTATCTGTGATAATCGACTTGGTACGTCATTGAGACGTATACGATTAAATAATGTAGAAGAATACATCGGAAACACTCTAAACCAGCGTTTCTTAAACTTTTTTATCCGTGGAACCCTTTTTGATGTCCACTTTTATCGTGGAACCCCTACTTTGTTTTTTAGCTTTTAAGATTTTTTTAGGATTATTTGCAAAAAAAAAAAATAAATACAATTATTCCATATACTAATATTGTGTTACAGGTATTTAATTAAAAAATATGTGTTAAAAAAAATAATAAAAGTAATAAAAATTGTATATAATATTACTTTAATAATAATTACTTAATGAGATGCATGAAATTGTTTTTTATCATTACAAATATTCTTAATATTGGGCTTTATTGATGAAAGTTGTATCAACATATTAGGTTCAGCATCAAGTCTGTTGCGGTATTTTGTTTTTGTCGATACATACGTGGAGAACCCCGTTTCACACATATAAGTGGTTGCAAATGGTAAAAGTGCCAACACGGCCTTTTGTGACAATTTTGTGTTCATATTTTGAACTGCACCAAAATTCTACTAATGGCATTGATTTAAATTTTTTTTGCAGTGATGAATCAGATGTCAATTCAATAAAGGTTTCATATTCTTTTACTGACATGCCTGGAGGTCGTGTATTGACAATAAATGGATTTTTAATCCACAATTCATTTTTATATTTCACCTGTTGGTCATTTGGAAAATACTGGTTAAATTCTTCACTCAATCCAGTGAGGTGCTGAATAATTTCCTCAATAAAAACCTCATTTATTTCGACCACTTCCTCTTCCAAAAAGCATTTAATTGTTGGAAAGCAATCAAACTCGTTGGAGCTCATACAAATTTTCCAAAAATCTAACTTTTTCTTAAAAGCATGAATTTTTTCGTGTGCAGTAAAAACATTTACTTGTCTGCTTTGAAGCGTGAAATTAAGCTCATTGATCTTTGTAAAAATATCACTTAAATAGGCGACTTTAAGTAGCCACATTTGATCAAGAAATCGATCTTTTAATTCGAAATTGTGTTCCAAAAAAAAGGCTCGTACCTCGTCCCTTAATTCAAAAATACGAGTTAGTATCTTTCCTCGAGATAACCACCTGACCTTGGTATGTAAGAGAAGAGAAGTATGTACACTTCCCATGTCCTCACATAAGATTTTGAATAAACGATTTTGAAGAGGCCGAGATTTTATGAAGTTTATGATTTTTACGACTTCATCAAGAGCTTTCTTAAAACTAATAGATAACTTTTTTGCAGCGAGTGCCTGGTCTATGTATCATACAGTGGCTACTAGAACAGTTTTTGGCAACATTTTTAATACGCTGTACAGCTTCATTAATTGTACCACTCATAGCCTTTGCTCCATCGGTACAGATATCAACGCAGTTTTCCCATGGTATTTCATTTCCTTCTAGAAATGAATTTAGAAGATCAAATATTTCAACTCCAGTAGTACGTGTTGGTAAAGATTTGCATAAAAGAAGATCTTTCAATAATGTGCTTTCGTGTTGATACCTAACGATGACAATTAATATTGCAAGCCCAGCTACATCGGTAGATTCATCCATTTGTAATGCAAATTTGCACGATTTGAGACGAAAAATAAGTTCATTCTGTATATCGGCTGCTAAATCATTGATACGATTAGCTACTGTGTCATTTGATAGTGGGAGTTTAGATATTTCTTTTGCCAATTTTTCATCTAACATACATTTTACCATCTCCATAGCACAAGGTTTTATAAGACTTTCGGCAATTGTGTAAGCCTCACCGCGTTGAGCTATCCGATAATTAACTAAATAAGAAGCCTCGGTTGCTTTTTCATTCATAATTTTTGTGGTTTGAACCATACAGTTTATTGATTTTAATAGTTCGTCACGCTTTCGATTAAAGTATTTCACCGCAAAATATTCAGGTTCTGGAGAGTAACGTTTCAGAGTTCCTTTTTTAAGCCATCTCTCTATAATATTGTACACAAAAAAAACAAAACTAACTTTGAGAAAAAAAATAAATTTATAACACAACGCATTCGAATATAACGTACAGGTCACAAAACACGCGGTGAACTGTCGCGTTGTATTGAGAGGTTGAATTGAAACATTATTTTATTTGTTTATCTGTTTTTCAGAAGTTCACGCTATCGCGGACGGTCGCGGGTCGTGACCAATTAGTATTTTTACTAACGACATACAAATATTATTTATGTATAGTACTATATTATATTTGCATATGACATATTCGACTTTAGATAGCGTGAGAAATATTATAGATAAAGTTAGTAAAATTAAAACAAATAAATAAATATGATAATTAAGATAACTAGTCAACTATTTAAAAACAAGTAATAAAATATATAAAATGTTAGTATGGTAGATTATAGTAGGTATAATAAATTATAATAACATCAATACTAATAACAATTGAAATCACAGACGAGTATTTAGTTCTTCAAGCCATTTTATGGCTGTTGATCCGCCCTCGTGTAGTTTTGTTAATCCTCCTTTGAACATTGTGGTGGGACACGACTCAACTATATGTTTGATTGTCTGCGTTTCTCCACATTCGCAAAGTGGAGAGTCTACCATTCCCCATTTGTGAAGTAGGTAGTTGCATCTTCCTTGTTCCGTTCTTATTCGATTAAGCGTTGTCCATATAGCCCTTGTGCCATCCCAGCCAGGGACTTTTTTAAATGGTTCTTTGATCAGGTCTTTATTACGGGTTTCTGACTGTTCCCAGCGTCTCGTCCATAGGTACTCAACTGATTCGCTTTGAGTTTCTGCATGTCATATGGGAGCTCTAGACTTAAGGCGTAATGGCGGATGTTCGAGAATGTCAATTTGCAGTGGCAAAACTGGTAGCAGGCTTTTTAGCTTATGTAATATCTTTGTGGTGTGTGATAGTCTCCTTAAGTCTGGGGGGGCTATATTCGAAAGGGTGGGTAACCATATTGTCTGAGTGGACCTGACTGTACCTGATATGATACGCATGGTATGGTTTAGTTGTACGTCAATTTTAGCGCAATGGGCGCTTCTAGCCCACACGGGTGCACAGTATTCGGCTACGCTATAAACCAACGCTAGCGCTGTAGTCCGGAGTACTTTGTTGAGGCAGCCCCAGGTGGTGCTAGCTAACTTAGCCATAATGTTGTTACGTGATTTTAGTTTATTTTTCGTTCCCTCCAGGTGTTGGTTATATGTTAGGGTCCTATCAAATTTCAGACCGAGGTATTTGGGACATGTATAGTACTAGTACCTATGTTACTCATATACTTTTTGTTATCGGCGGTTGTTTCTCTTAAGTTCACGCTATCGCGGACGGTCATTGTTGTCGCCGGGACAGCACGTGCAATTCCGAGCCATTTGCTGCCACGACTCGCGGTGTGCTGAGGATAAAAAGGGTTACTCTAAGCCAGTGGTTCTCAATCTTTTTAGGACCACGACCCAAATTGTTTTCCAAAAATCTATCGCGACCCCCATAATTTTACATTTACAGAATCAAAAAAGTATTTTCAAAAATACATTTTTTTATTATTTATTTACTACTTTAAAATAATAATAATAATTATAATAATATACTTATAATAATAATATGACACTTATTAATTAATAATTAGGCGTATGAGATGAATGAGCTTGTTTCCTGCTACTTTTAATAACAGCACCAACATCGACATCAATTTTAGCTACTTTCAAACACAAGGAGTGCGATAGTTGGAGCTTGTTTCTGTGTTTGTTTTTGATGCCCACCATGGCCGAAAATCCAACTTCACACAAGTATGATGATGAGAAAGGTAGTAATACCTTTAAAGCTTCAGTTGAAAGAGTTGGACATTTCTGTTGAGCTGATAGCCAAAACTCAATCAAATTATTTCGGTTAAATTTAAGTTTTAATGATGTATCTTCAGATATATCAATGAGTTCTTCGTCAGCTTTTGTTGATATCCCTGTTAATATAGCGTCCTGAAACAGATTCACAACCCATTTATTTTTTTGACATTTTTCCATTTCTTCAAGGAAGTAAAAGTTAAAGTTATCTTTCAATGAAATTAAATGCAAAGTGATTTGGCTAATTATGTCAACAGGAACTTTTATATTATTTTCGGTTATGAAAGTTTGAAATGTTTCAAAACAATCATAATTTTGTTTTTCAATGTTTTTTTGCCATAAAATAAGTTTTTTCATAAAACCTCTAATTTTTTCATGGACTGCAAATATATCGTCTCCTTCTGTACCTTGTAAATATAAATTTAGTTCGTTCAATTTCGCAAATATGTCGGCTAAATACGTTAGCTTCAAAATAAAATCTTCATTGTGCAACGATTTTACCAAATCAGTTTTTTCTTTAAGAAACAGTGCAACTTCTTCGCGGAGTTCTACAAGTCTTGTTAATACTTTTCCTCTTGATAGCCAACGTACTTCAGTATGCAAAAGAAGAGATTTGTGAGAACTTCCCATCTCTTCACACAACTTTTCAAATAATCGTGATTGCAGTGGCCTTGTTTTGATGAAATTGACTATTTTCACAGAAGTGTTCAATACAATTTTCAAGTTATCTGGCAGATTTTTTGATACTAAAACTTCCCTGTGAATGTTGCAGTGAGTCCATGATGCATTCGGACTAACTTCAAGCATTCGAGTTATAACACTACTATTTTTACCACACATAGCTCTAGCACCGTACATAATCCAACACATTTTAACCTTTTTTATTGATATAAGTATTGAGTGTATTGAATATTTCCTCACTAGTACCTCGAATAATTGGTTCACAAAATAACATATGATCTATGAGATCAGGATGCTTAGTCTCAATATGCCGACGTAATTTATTCGGACGCATACTCTCGTTTGCAAGTACTTCAAAACAAATTACACACTGTGGTCGTTGTTCATCATTATCTTCTTTCCAAGAAAAACCAATTTTTAGGTACTCTGAATCATACTTTCTTGTCTTTTTTTTACGTTTTAAAACCGAAGTTGAAGGTTCGTTTTCATCAGTTTCAATTTTTCGCTTATTTACCAACCATTTGTCCATCATACAATTTTTGTAAATAAATATACTGTCTCAGAAATAGAGCTTTAATCACACCAAGCAATCGATCGCACTAAAACGAACGCACGCGGTACAACACACTAATACACGTGCACGACACATTAACTAAAATTACAAGCCGGAGATGATACAGCGTAACAACTAACGACGCCGTAACGACTAACTGAAATTTTACAGACAACTATATAGTTGCCGAGTACCGACTTTATCGTCATATTTTATCGAAATATTTTTGCGATAACGACGTACCAAAAATACCCATCATAATAATTCCCGCAATAATATTCTTATATTACTTTATACTTCTATTATAGTTCTATAGTGTATACATAAATTTCTTACAATTTGTATAATTAAAAAAATTTCTCGCGAGCCCCCAAAAATTGACTCGCGACCCCCCAGAGGGTCGCGACCCACAGTTTGAGAAACGCTGCTCTAAGCAGTATAATATATACAATTATAGAAATACAGTGTAATAAAAAAAAACATATATTTCACCACAATGATTAATATAAGAATTGATTAAATAAAAAAAAAAAGGGCGCCCAAAACAAGTTACTGAAAATATCGTAACATATATATACATATAAAATAAAAATTGGAGAAAGTATATAATCAGGTTCACGTAGCGTGATACACAATAATAATAAAATATAAGAAATATAAACAACCAAAAGGACGACCTGGTAACTTCTGCACTTCCCTCCGGATATGAAAAGATGATTGTCAGTCCACTGACGGAAGATACTGGTCCAAAAACAATGGAATCCGCACGTATATGGTACGACCAAAATAACCACCAAGGTTTATAGCGGCGGCACACGGCGACACGCACAAAATTATATATAAAAAAAAAAACAATGTGGAGGAACAACCAACTAGGTTACCTTCCAAAAAAAAAGTTTTACATCGCAACACGCGTGAAGGCGACGGGCAACACACCCAGATATGTACCGTCCGGTGGTTGCAAAAGGACACTGACCACGTATATTATATAAAAAAGGTCGACGGGCAAAACCAGCCGGTTCCATATCTGTCTCGCGACGATTATATCGCACATGAGATAATTATGAGACGATAGCGGAGTTTTGTGGCGGCGGGAGGGAAGATGTACGTTTTTCTGAACCGGCGGGCAATTAAAAAGATACCGAGTTCGAACAGTCATAACCAATTAGTATTTTTTCAACGACGTTTAAATATTCTATAAGTACACAATAATTGTAGAAGTAAAGATAGAATATTCCATATGACATATACAATATTATTTAATATACAAACATTTTTTTCCCCATTAATAATATTTAGTTTGGCATTTTTAAGTAATTTTCTTGAAAATTTTGAAAAAAATTACTTAAGCTTCGCGGAACCCTGAAGTGATCTCCGCGGAACCCCGGGGTTCCGCGCAACACAGTTTAAGAAACGCCGCCCTAGGGTACATAAAAAAATTCCACCCAGTTTTTTTTTGTTAGAGAGTGTGGGGGGAGGGTTAGAGGGTCTATTTTAATATACAAAATACAAATACAGTAAAACCTCTCTATAACGGATCCTCTATTAAACGGAATCTTCCTTATAACGGAAAATGTCAATAGTCCCGGTGTAAATAATATAAAATTTTCTACCTCTCTATGACGGAAAACTCTTTATAACGGAAAAAATATTGGTCCCAAACGATTCTGTTATAGAGAGGTTTTACTGTACATATGTAAATTTATAATTTATATTAAATATTTATGTCCTAAGCAAACAGGATGATAGATATCAAAATAAATTCCAAAAATTAAAACATTTATTAGTATAATTATATTTTAACACAAGGTTAAGTATAACAAGTTATCATAATATATGTATAACATTATTTGTTTAAAACAGTAATAAAAAACTTAAATAAGTATAGTTAAATATTTTTTCTTCTTGCTTGTTTCTTAGCAAATGTTTTTATAATTTCACTAAAATCTAATTTACAAGTTATTGATGATTCAATTCAGCATTGCCAAGCTCTTAAGATGACATAGTAGATCGTAGATAATTCTTGATACGTTTTAAAACTGAGAATGATCTTTCAGTTGAACAATTTGAGACTGGTGTGCATAAAAACATATGTAATGCAATATTAATGTATGGAAAAGTAGTAACCAGATCAATTTTTTTTTTAAATAAACTCATTTGAAGTAAAGTTGTTGGCGGATTATCCAATGACTTCAATAAACTTTGAAAATGAATACATTCATTATCAAATGGTTCATCTAGATCTTCATTATAAATTGTACGTAACATTTTAGCGGATTTTCTTATTTCAGATGAACTGTATTCTTTTAACTTCAAAATAAATAAATATTTTGAAAATAAATTATCATAGGCCTCTTTTCTTTTTAATAGTTCATTTAACAAATTATCACAGATGGGATAGAAAGTATTTATTTTAAAGTATTGATAGCCACAAAATACAATATCTGGTTCATTTGATTCGTCAATTTGTTTTTTTCTTTTTCTATTTTTTGTTTCAAACTAAGGAACATTTTCTTCAAATTTGTCTTGTGCCAATTTTTCATAGGTGTTGAACATTGTTCGTAGTGTTTTAATATATTCAATTAGTGTATTATACAATTCAACAACAGAAGTGAGATCTATTTGAATAGATTGAAATTTTTTTACTAACATTATTAAATGTTTGAAGAATATCACACCATAACGATGTCATAAATGCAGTTTTTAATTTATTTATATTCCGTAACAATCCACTGGCTTCACTACATGTAAGTGGTTTTTCACTATCAGAATCTACTAGCTCCTGCAATGCATTTGTTACAGCTATCCAATTTTTATTAAGACTCTGGCATGCATCATTTCTAGCAGACCATCTAGTTACTGAAAGTCCTTTTAGAGTTGACTCTGTATGTTTATTTAGTATCATCCAGCGGTGTGTAGATGATGAAAAAAAAACATATAAATTTTGAACAAATAAAAAATAATTATTTGCCACACTACAACAGCTGGCTGCACATAATCAAATAAGATTTAGGGAATGGGCAGAACATGGAACAAAATCAGCAAGTGGTGCTATTAACTTAATTCGAGCCTGAACCCTTAGTAGGCACCGGACATATTGGCGGCATTATCATAAGATTGCCCTCTAAGAAATTTAATATCAATATTATGCTTATTTAATGTAGAAAAAATAGTTTCTGCTATTGGTTCAGCTTTGTGTCCAATATTTTCTATGAATCCCAAAAAACGTTCAACAGGTTCTCCAACACTGTTAACATATCTTACAACAAATGACAACTGGTCAATATTCGATATATCAGGTGTTGAATCAACGCTAATTGAAAAATATGTTGAAGATTTTAATTCTTCTACTATGGTAGTTATTACTTTTTCAGCCATAATTTTAATAAATTGTTCGTAAGTAAAAAAGGACATATAGGATGTATTTCCTTTACCAGGATTTCCATATTTTAATATGTTTTGATAAAAAGGGATCATATTCAGCAATAAGTTTCATAGCCATTATAAAATTGTCATTATTTTTACCAGAAGATTCAAAACTATCATCTCCACCCCTGAATGATAGACCATGACTAGATAATGATTTAACAACAGAGCAAACTCTACTAAGCACATTGATCCAATAATCAGTCTCCGTTTGAAGTTTATAAGTAAGTTGTAAGTCTACTCTTCCAAAATCTGATGAACGATGTTTCATTTTAAACGTACAGGTTTTATGCATGGTTGAATTTTCATGATTATTAATTTTATTTGGATGTTTCCAGTCCAAAAATCCCTTACGTGAAAAATTGGAAGTATTTTCAAACAAATAACATGGGATGCAGTATATTTTACCAGTACTAATTGAGTAACACAAATAGTCTCTTTGATATGTTTTTCCATTAATTAATGTTGTTTTAAATAAATCTTTACTTAGGTACCTGTTATGAGATCTAAATTGTCCTTGGCGTATATACTGGTATTGTGTTTTAGATTGTGAAAAATTGCCATCTAAGTTCTGATTAAATCCATTTCTACAGATAAAATCTCTGGTCTCCTCGTTTAATGTCCATAAAGCAGGGTCAGCACTAAATACAAATTTCAAAAATAAATAATAATGATTATAATTATTATTTTAATCCAAAAATTCTAAAAAAAATTGATATTTTTATCAGAAAATATTATTAATAATATTAGGTACAATTCTTAATTTAATTATTTACCCTGGCAAATCTGAAGAACTGGGTGCTTGTAAAATATTTACTTCATTGTTAATTTGAGTTTCTAAGCTTAAATTTGTATCTTGTACTCCTGTAATGATTGAACATTTCACTGCAGATTGGTTAGTAAGTGGTAAATTCACACTTTTTGCTGAATCATTAAATTCATTGCTTAAACAAAATAATCAATAAACATTATTTTCTTCAATCTTAAAAAACATGACTTTTACAAAGAAAAAATAATTACAGTATACATTATTATAAAATATTACAATGTAAAATATCTATAAAATATATTACCTGTCATTATCTATTATTTCACTGGCAGCAGAATGGACAGTGTCTACTTGTTGTACTTCTAAAATAAGGTAGAAATTATTACTAATATTATTAATTGATATTATATTTTCAACTAAATTTTATTATTACTAATCTTATAAGTTATAGTTAAAATCGATAAAAAAATATTAAAATGTAAAAAGTTTGTTTTCTAGAATATCTTAAAATGTTCTTTAAAGAACAATGCCTACAAATAAAATAAATGTATTTTTTATATTATGCATTCAATGAAAACAATTTTTTAACAGTAAAAATACACAAATCAATTTAAATACTATCCAAATTTAAACTTACTTTGAAACATGACATCAAGTTTCATATTATTTTTAATACTTTTTTCCACATTATCTTTATTAATTTTACTCAATTTCCGATAAGCACTTCCGCTAAGCTTTCTATTCATAAATTTAATCTTTTTTTTTTTTTTTTACGTTATTAACCGAACATCAAGGGTGGTACCGACGCTAGTCATTTCACCCCTTGATGTCCATCGTTTATTATTGATAATCAGACAAATATTTACAATTTACAATTAGCATTATAAGTTTACAACAAAATAGGGAGCCTCTAACCCCCTCGTTTTGGCCTTTGGCCCACATATTATACTACTTAACTAAATTCTGATAATTATGCTTCAGCTTGTCTACGCCTTTCCTCTGCTTCTTTTTTGGATAGAACGAAGGATACAAATTCGCTGACAGCTGACCAGTTTGCGATTGATTCGAGCATCAGAGAGACCATAGTTTGTGGACTCATCTCTGTGATTCCGAGAGAGGTACATAGTTGCTGTTTCCTATTGTACCATGCGTCGCACACAAAGATGGTGTGTTGCGCGTCATCCATTTCCGCACCGCAGTACCAGCACTCCGGGGACTCGAGTTTTCCAAAGCGGTGAAGATATTGGGCGAAGCATCCATGGCCTGTCAGTGCCTGAGTTAGGTGGAAATTAGTTTCACCAAAAGTCCTCCGTACCCATGCTCTGATATCGGGGATTAGCCTGAATGTCCATCTACCTGTATTAGAGGAGGTCCAGCGTGTTTGCCATTCCGAGAGCGTCCTGTCACGACAGTCCGTTTCTCGAGCCCCTGCGCCTTTCGCTTTGGACAGTGCCTGTCTTTCCGAGCCAAGTAGGTCAATTGGCGGGATGCCTGCGATCACCAGTGCTGCATCTGCCGAGACTGTGCAATACGCTGATACCACCCTCAGCATCATCCTCCGTTGACACTTTGTTAACTCAAATAGACCGTATTTTGCCATCTTGCCCGACCATATTGGGGCGCCGTATAATAATATTGAGTGTGTTACTCCGGCCAGTAGCTTGCGCTTCCTCGGAGTGGCCGCACTGATGTTCGGGAGTATTCTCGCTAGATTTCTGGCCACTTTCCCAGCCTTGGCGGTGACATGTGCAGCGTGAGCAGTAAAGTTTAGTCTTTGATCGATGACGATCCCGAGGTAGTTTATTTTGTTAACGTTCTTTATGTCTACGCCGCCTATATTAATGTGTAGATCATTGTGCGTCCTGGTCTTGGTAATCACCATAGCTTCTGATTTTTGGATGGCTAGTTCGAGCCCCATATTGTTCATCCATCTTACGACTGTGTTGGCGCCTTCAGTGAGTAGACGCTCCAACACAATCACATCCTTACCGCTAGCGACGAGAGCCACGTCATCGGCATAGGCGAGAAATTCGACTCCCATAGGGAGTGGCTCGCGAAGCAGGTCGTCATACATGATGTTCCACAGAGTTGGACCGAGAACAGAGCCCTGTGGAACACCGCTGGTAACTGGTAAAATCGATTCTATTCCGTTTATTGCCGCAATAAGTGTGCGATCTTTAAAGTAGTCGCGTATGACACGCATTATGCTAGGGGAAACACCTTTCCCTTCTGCGGCGTCGAGAATTTTTTCCCACGAGGCAGAGTTTAACGCGTTTTTCACGTCAAACGTCAACAGACCGACCTTTTTGCCTGTCGAGCTCTCAACGTGAGACAACAGTTTGTTCACCGCGCAGATGGTAGAGCGGCCTTCCCGAAACCCGAACTGGCAGTCTGCTAGGTCGTCACCTCGTGCCAAATCTTCCTTAATACGGGTTTCAAGGAGCTTCTCGAAGAGCTTACCCGTAGAGTTGAGCAGACATAAAGGACGATATGACGAAGGAGACTCCAATGGCTTATCACCCTTTCTGAGCAAGACCAATCTGGCTTGTTTCCACGAGGTAGGAAAGCGGCCTTGCAGGAGGCATTCGTTATACATCCTCGTGAGTATTTCTGGTTGATGCGCTGCTAATACCTTTAAAACTTCGTTCGTCACGTTGTCGGGGCCTGGCGCTTTCCCGCTCTTTAGTTTCGCACAGGCTGAGCGTATGTCCTGTATGTCGAATCGTTGTGCCGGATCAAAAGGCGAGGGGCCCGTGGTATCGGGGGGTCTCACTGGATGCGTTGGGAAGAGCTCCTTAATTATAGCCGGCAGTCTACCTGGGAGATTGAGACCAGGGATAGGAGTCCTCGCACAAAGTTTGCCCATTACTATTTTGTAAGGTTTACCCCAGGGATCGCGTTCTACTTCATCGCACAGCTGCTTCCATGACTGCTCTTTGGCACGCTTTATTCCCTTGACGAGAGCCAGTTTTGCAGATTTGGCGGCGGATTCCTCTTCAGCGCAGGCCATGGGGCCAAGACGGCGGCGCTTACGTTGGAAGACCCGACGTAAGTGATTGGCTGTCTTGCGAAGCTCACCAAGGGACGGTGACCACCAGTAAGTGCTCTTCCTCTTGCTACCTGCGTATGTTCCGGATCGGCCGCATATATCGTTCAACGCGGAGTTGAATTTCCCGGATAAAACATCTACGTCGGTGCTGTGATCTTGGGCAATGATTCGTCCAGCTGTGAAGTAAGACTTCAGGGATTGTACATGAAATCTTCGTTTTTGGATTTCTCCGACAGCGTTAACATTACTACCTCCAGCCGTGAATTGTATGTAAAAATGGTCACTCAGCGTGACCAGGTCTAATACTGCCCAGTTAATAATGCAAGCTGCCAAACGTGGTGTGGCCAGCGTGATGTCAATCACGGATGAGCCTGTGGCGCGCTGGAAGGTGGCAGTTGTGCCTGTATTGCATATGATAAGGCCAAGGGCCTGTATAACATCCATGAGAGCATCTCCTCTATTGTTATTGGATCGGCTTCCCCAGTCCGAGTGGTGCGCGTTAAAGTCGCCACATACTAAAGATTCTTCAGTATGTGTACGGATACTTTGCTCTAGGTCTACCAGGAATGCCCTGTACTGCGTGAGGTTTGGATCAGGCCTAGGGGACCAATAGCACGAATATATTCTTAATGAGCCACGTTGTATCCAGACGAAGCCAGCATCACTCGAGCTGACGACGTCCACCGAGAGTCCGCTAATGTTGGCTATCGCAGCGTTGCCCAAGGTATCGTAATGCCATAACGGGACTCTCACAGGACAAGGCTCACTAACAAGCATGATGTTGATGTCGTTCTCTCTGCACTGTTGCAACGCCAGTGCCTGTGCTGCCTTGCAGCGATTCAAATTAATTTGTAAAAAGGATGTCATTGTGATGATGAGGGTTGCTTCTCAGGTAGGTGTGCTAGTTCCTTAGATTTAGCACCGGCAGCGTTACCTTCACCCTCAGTAGAGGCGGGCACCGAGCCGTTGGCGGGGCAGGGACAGGCCGCAATCAAGTGGCCAGGAACCCTGCATCGGAAGCAGTTTCGCCTCTCAGGACCAGGGCACAAATTAGATGAATGCCCTGCTGTTTTGCATTTGTTGCATGCTCGTACTTTGGCGTCAAAGTCTTTGATTCTGCAGTACCCCCAACCAACCTTTAAACTTTTCGCGTCGATGAGTCTGTATCCAGCCTGGAGTGGTACTCTAACAATGACCGTTCTTACACCATTCCTGCCTTCCCGTATTCGCACCTCGTTGGTCGGTTTCAGTTCGGGGTCGTGCGCCTCCAGGATCTTCGTGAGCTCACTCTCATCTACTGAATCTTCTATTCCAATTAGTAATAGAGCGACACTCGGCGATGGTCGTCTAACCCTTCAAGTGTCACCGAAGCGACGCGCCAAAGCGCTGGCTAAGTTATCAGCGTGATCTTTGCTCGATGTTTCCAGAACCAGACTCCCAGTCTTAGCCCTTCTGGTCGTAATTTCAAACGAGAGTAGCTCCTGTCTAACAGTATCCTTAACCTCTCTGACAGCATCAGCGTAGGATATGCTCGTAGGTTTCTCCAGTACGACCGCCTGCGTCTTAGGTGGCCTCCTGCGTTCCTATCTAGAGGCTTAGGGGGCTTCGGTGAGATATCATTTGTTCTTTCAGCTACCAACTCTTTATTTTTGCCTTTCGCTTTTTTCCGCTTCCTTTTGTTGACAACCGTGAATTCGCCCTCCTTTACCTTCTCCAAATCCGAAGGTGGAGACCGCGGATTCCGTTCTACCTTACTGTGAATAGGCGGTTCCGATTCTTCTACCCTACTTGCCTGCTTTGTTAGTTGTCTCTGCCGTGGAGGGGGAGCCTCCCACCAGCACGGAGTATCAGTACCGACGTCCTCAGTCGTCTTTCTTGCAGTTATAGACTCGCTGGAAATAGTATCCTGTGGTACGTTATCTACTTCGGTCGTTGTTTGGGTGGATTTGCTTCTATAATTGATGCCACGACCACCCACTTCCAATTTGCACTGAAGCTCGGCGTCCTTAGGATTCCGCAGGGCCAACTGGTTGAAAGATTTGTGGACTTCTTCGCGGCAGTTCTTAATCCCTGTAACCACGCTTATGACTCCATCGATAGCGATTTTCACTTCAGGACTTCGGACTTTAACGGCCCAGGTTTCCAGGATATGAACCTTCTGATATAGGAGCTTGTAACCCGCGTCCTGCGTTGCGAGAGATTGCTTCAGCGCTTTCAAAGAACTCTGGTAAGTATCTACTTGAAGATCACCCAGGTTAGGTACATCAGCACTAGTAACTTTGAGACTAGCAGGGGCCTGGCTGTCCACCTCTGTAGTCCTGTGGTCGCTGAATGACGGCCTCCGGGAGCCCACTTGCTCACTCCCGACTGCCGGCATCTGGGGGTCCGAATCCCCTGATGTGGTAACAATATTTCTGTTGAAAGCGTCCATATTGGGTTTTTAAAGTGATTTCCTTCACTTGCGTTTTAACCCTACCGCCAGGGGGATTTTAGGTCGGTGTTACCTTCACCTATCTCCGTTTGCAGGTGCTTGCAGGTGGAGCGGACCTGCCCAACCAGTTAAGGTAAGGCTCTGTGAATAGCCCGAGTCGGGCTGGGACCGCTCGGTAAGATCTAGTTAAAGACCCGCAAGCTCCCCCACCGCGTCAAGGTGGGTCCCGTCGGGGGAGTCATAAATTTAATCTAAAAGAAGTTTATATTATAATTACTGTTAAAAAGCATGTACTAAAAACTAGAGTAAGTAATTAAAAAGCTTTATGTCATTTTAGGTATCAATATAATTACCACTACTGAATAATTATGATTTAATGACGAATAACAAATTTATTAAACATTAAAACACTTTTATTTTCAGTAAAAATTAAATAATATAATAATACGTATAATATATAATTCAAAATTACTTCAATTAATTAATTACTTACTTATTGAGTATTTTTTTGAATAAAATAGAACGGACAGAAAAACGCACTACAATATTATATAAAAATTAACAATTATACTCGTCAATACGTCGAATAAGTCGTTAATAAGTCAATAAGTCGTCATACGTTAAATATTGATAACCATTTCAGTAACTTAAGAATAATAATCAAATAAATATTAACAAAAACTAAAAGTAAAATAAATGTATTTATTACTGTTAATACGATACGTTTTACATTAGCGCTAGCTGGCAGCTGCGACTAAGCGAGCTATTCTGCGTAGGTACGTTGCGCGTCGTTATCAGTTATCCACGGAATTATCTGTTTAAAAATAGATTTGAGAGAATTTCCTAAAATAAACTTTGAAGAAATCTTCACAAAACCCTCAAAACTACTATTCATAAGAAAAAAAATTTTAAAATTATAACTATGTCCCAGATAGCATTTTCGTAATGATAATATCATAATAATATTATTATTTCATTAAAATTATAATATTTTAAAATAAATATTAATTTGTTATAACATAATTGTTTTAAAAATAATGTTTTAAAACAAACATCATATTGATATCAAATAATTATATGAAAAATAATATTACGTAAATATTTTATATATAATATTAAAGTTAGTATAATGAAATAATATTCTGATAATATTATTAATAGAATATTAAAATTAAAAAAACTATATATTATATTAAAACTATTATTAATATGTTATTATTCTTGTAAAAATAAAGAAACATTCTTAATACACCATTGGTAAATGTAAAAAAGTATAAACAAAACAATTAAATAATTATATAATATATCTTATATAGGTATTTAATTTTAATTTAAAACAATAATAATGATGATACACATATTTATGTAAATATATATAAATTACATGTTTTATTTTATAAATTTATAAAAATAATATAATTAATTTAGAGGTGTGCATATTTATAATTATATACATTAATATACGTGCATTAAAAATTATGATAAACTAGCAACTACTAACTGATCACCCACGTCATTCACAGCAATCACAGCCTACTTATATGTTATATGTATACTGAAATTTTAAACATAATTTAATATGAAACTCAAATATAAAAGGAAAAAATAATACAAATAAAATCGTCTTTAATTCAAGAGTTAATAACCTAACTTAGTTAACCTTAGAACAAGTAGCATAATATAGGTGTATCATATATAATATGATTTACGATTAAAATAAATGTGCTCAATGCACATTATATTAGTATAATAATAATAAATAGCAGTACGTGTTCAACCTTCGAACGTTTAACACGTGTGTATCGCGAGTGCGCTTTTATCAAGCTTCCGATAGCATATCCAAATCGTTTCGATACTTCAGGTAATATGAACATTATTTGACCCAAAAACCCCCAAATATGTCCACCAACCCTCCCAAAGGGCACTCACCTAGGATGAAACTTCCAAACATAGGTGCAACAACCCAAAAACCTCAAAAAAATACAACAAACAGACCCGCAAATAATACTGTAAAAAATACCACCTCGCCAATTAAACTCAACAATCAAACCACAAAACAACAATCCAGTCCGAGTACATCATTAGCGAGCGATAACGTAGTCGCTAATCTCAGTACCTCCGTCCCACTATCTACATCACATAATGCCTCTATCGCTAATGAACTCATCAGCAATATCGATAACAACCACACCATATTTAATTATCCACCGGTACCGACTACTTCAGATAATTCACAAAACATGTATATTCCACAACACAATAAAAACGAAATCACATTTGCAACAATCACGGCAAACGATAAAACTCCGTCGAGAGACCAGGCGATAGTCTTCAACTCCATTGACGGCATCCCACAAAAAGAATATGTGTTAGCAGTTGGGAAAATAGTGTCCCCCAAAAATATCACTTTTGTGTCTAGAATTTCCAACAACCGTTTCTGCATATTCTTATCTAGCAAACAAGTCTTAGATAAATTAATAGAAACCCATCCATTCATAATAATAAACAATCAAGAATTACAAATTCGCAGACTCAACAACCCAGCCAAAAGGATAGTAATATCTAATGTTTGCCCTTCTATCAACAACCAGAGCATCCTTGACCAACTCAAAATGATCAATATAACCCCAGTCTCTCAAATAAGCCACCTCAAAGCTGGAATATTTGCAGAAGGTTATGATCACATTCTTAGTTTTCGCCGACAGATGTATATTAAATATGACGACTTGCCAAGAATTCCCAGTTCACTTTTAATCTCTGCAAATGATTCACAATTTCGCATATTTTTCACGGATGACAAAATAACATGTTTTGTTTGCAAATCCACGGGACATACTTCCTCGACTTGCAAAAAATCGACTCTTAATAATATGGAAATCTCTCCCACTCCACACCAGATTAATACAATCGAACCAAATCCTACATCAGAAAACCAAATAATCGACAAAACTGATATCCCTCTACCTCCTTACAATTCTACAATGCATAATACTACAGATGAAACTCACCCTATATTGAATGATATCTCCGAATTCTCAGCTCTCAAACGACAGGCCCCGTCAACAACAATATCCTCAGCCCCCACTAGCCCTCTATATTCAACTACTCAAGAGTCACCCCTCCTGGAGCGAATAAACCAACACAAAAAAATTAGAACAACCGAACAAACACCTACATCTGAGAACAAGCCTACGAATCATGAATCACCTTTCACTCAACCAGAATCAACAAATAAACCAAAAAATCGCTCCCGCTCAAATTCGCGCAAACGTTTTTCAGAGGACTTGGACACCCATCTAGACCCCATCAGCCAAATTTTCAAAGAGCTAAATCATACTTGTTTAAACTTCCCTCAATTTAAACATATAATAGAAATTATTGCAACCCAGGATCACTTTTTAAATACAATCCATGAATACGAAACAACAGGAAACCACATATTGGAATTACTTGAAAAAATCAGACCCTCACTTTTAACTGTTAAAGCTAAAAACAATATATCCCGGATAACGAGCAAACTCTTTAAAACAATAGAAAATGAAGCCTCCATGGATGCTTCAGCAATTGAATCTAATTCTCTCTGATACTTTCTTATTAATACACACAATACACAATTAGCAAAAAAAAAAAAAACAAAAAAAAAAAAAAAAAAAAAAAAAAAATGGTTAAAATTATTCAGTGGAACCTAAATGGCTTCTTCAAGAAACAAGAAGAGCTAAAACTCATCATCCAAAACCATGATCCCCAAATTATATGCCTCCAAGAAACTAATTTCAAAGACAACTACACCGCCCTCCTCAAAAATTTCGTAGGTTTCAGCAAAAATAGAATAACATCGGTTAGAGCCAGTGGAGGAGTCACAATATACACAAAATCAAACATCCCAACCAAAGAATTAAAAATAAATAGCAACCTTGAAACATTAGCGGTATCCATTGAACTCAACGAAAAATTCTCATTATGCAACATTTACTTACCGAACCAAACTGAATTTTCATTATCAGATCTGGAAAATATCACACGTCAACTTCCTAAGCCCTTTATATTAGTAGGAGACTTCAACTCACATAATATGGTTTGGGGCTCAAACACTACCGATTCGAGAGGAAAAACTGTTGAAAAACTTATACATAATGAAGATTTAGTACTTTTAAATGACACAACCCCCACACACATTAATCTTGGAAATGGCAACTTTTCTTGTATAGACCTATCTTTAAGCTCACCATCAATCGCGCAGAGGCTTGAATGGGAAGTTTTATCAGAAATATATAGTAGCGACCACATTCCAATCAAAATTAAAATAACACAAAGACAAATAAATAATAAACAATTAAATAAATATAGATGGAATTTAAAAAAGCCAAATTGGAACCTTTACACTGACCTGCTAGAAGAAGAAATCAACAAAATTATTGAACACAACATCATTGATATAGAAGAAACTACCCAAACCTTTACAAACCTCATAACTGACATTGCAAAAAAGACAATAGGCACAACTAATCAAACAAAAAAACCCAGAGTACCCTGGTGGAATGACAAAATAAAAGAAGCAGTATCCAATAAAAATAAAGCACTATTAAATTTCAAAAAAAATAAAACCCCCGAAAATCTCATCGAACTCAAAAGACTCAGAGCCAAAAGCAAGTTCCTCATTAAAAAAAGTAAAAAAGAATCATGGAACATATACACATCCACCATCAATGCAAAAACAAACCCAGCACAGGTATGGAGAAAAATAAAATCTTTAAAAGGCTTATCAAGTTACAACGACATAGTTATAAAAGCCAACCAGAGTACCATAACCGATCAAACAGTAGTAGCAGATACAATAGGAAACTTCTTTTATGAAAACTTTAGCGATAAATTATACGAAGAAAAATTTATAAACGAAATAAAGATCCCTAACGAGAGCATACAAATCAAGTCAACCATCGAACCAAATAACCTAGACCAGATAAACCTAAACCTCAAAATCACAATGGATGAGTTAGAACAAACTCTGAGAGTATGCAATAGTAAAAGCCCGGGCCCCGACACAATTCCTTATAGCTTCTTACATAACTCGGGTATATCGACTAAACAACACCTACTCAACATATACAACCACATATGGAGAAAAGGGCAAATCCCCGTAAATTGGAAAACAGCCAATATAATACCTATCTTAAAGCCAGGAAAAGACAAACACTCACCTGAAGGATACAGGCCTATTTCCCTCCTAAACACGATGGCTAAAATACTTGAAAAAATAGTGAACACTCGTCTGATTTGGTTCCTGGAAAAAGCAAAAATTCTATCTGACCTACAAAGCGGCTTCCGCAAACATAGATCCACAATTGACAGCCTTACCATCATTAAGTCAGAAGTAAACGATGCACTCAACTCTAATCAGTATCTTGGATTGATAAGCATAGACATCGCCAAAGCCTATGATTCGGTATGGAGATATAGAGTGTTAGAAATTCTTTCAAAAATACTTACGGACGGCAACATGTTCAACTACATAAAATGCTTTCTTAACTCAAGACAATTCTCAATCACACTTACAAATGCCCAATCAAAAAATTACACTCAGCAAAATGGAATTCCTCAAGGCTCGTCATTATCGGTCACCCTCTTTCTTTTAGCAATAAACGACATAACTAACACCATAACATTTCCTGTCAAAGCCAATCTTTTCGCAGATGACTTCAATTTCTGGTGCAAAAGCCCAAATCTCAAAACAGTACATTACTTCTTACAAAATACAGCAAACAACATCGCAAAATGGTCAACATTAACCGGTTTCAAGATCTCCAGTCTAAAATCTCAATGTATTATATTTTCCAACAAAAGAAGTCAAAAGCACATCAACATCCAGCTAAATAACAACTACATCCCAAATGTAAACACAATTAAAATTCTCGGAGTTCATTTCGACATAAAAATCAATTGGTTACAACACCTAAAACAACTCAAAATATCACTGACAAGAAGTCTCAACATCATGAAAATGTTAAGTCACACCACGTGGGGAGGAGACGAAGATACGCTCATAAAAATTCACAGACACCTCATCAGAGCGAAAATGGACTACGGTTCAACAATCTATCAATCTGCCAAACCCCTCCACAAAAAAATAATTGATACTTCTTTAAACGCCAGCTTAAGATTCGCCATTGGAGCTTTCCGATCTAGTCCCATTGAAAGCATTCGGAACCTAGCACTCGAACCCCCCTCTGAGCTCAGACACAAAGAAAAATCACTACTCTACGCAGCTAGCATCACAAGAAACTCTAGCAACCCAGCAAACAAATGTATTACAGAAACCAACAAGTACGCCAAAGATCATGGCATAGATTTCAATGCGATAATTAAAGTTCAACCCCCCGATTTCCCCCCATGGTCCTACAATTTCGATATAAACCTGGAATTAACTAAATTCAAAAAAGAGCTGACTCTCCCTATGATCTATAAGAATACCTTAAACGAAATACTCCAGGATCACAAAAATGCAAATCGATACTACACTGATGCCTCTAAATCAGAAAAAGGTGTAGGAATCGCAATTATCAACCAAGACTTCACTATCAAATTCAAACTCCCCAAAATTTGCTCTATATATACGGCAGAAGCCATAGCAATTCTTAAAACAGTAGAACACATTTTACTTAATGAAGGTCATGGTAACTTCCATAAAAGCAATCTTATCTTGTCAGACTCACTTTCAACACTCATGAGCCTCAAAAACACTTCCAACTCCACAGATATAGCAAAACTTTTACTGCAAAAAATTAACCTAGCAAATAATGCAGGAATCAAAATTTCACTAATATGGATCCCGGGGCACAGTGACATAGAGGGCAATGAAAAGGCAGATCAAGAAGCTAAGAAAGCAGCAGAGTACAATGATATCCCCTTTTTAAATATTACTCAATTCGCAGACATAAAAAACCAAATTAAAGAACTAACTAGAATCAAATGGCAATCACACTGGCTCGAACAAGACACCAAACTGAGAAGAATAAAAAACTCTATATTCAGATGGCCCAACTCCCTCGCAAAAAGAAGAGAAATAGTAATCATGAATAGACTCCGTATCGGGCATACTCGTCTAACCCACGGTTACCTCATGACAAAGGATGAAAAACCCATTTGCTCAACCTGTGGCACCGATCTAACAGTACACCATATCATAACAGAATGCCGACGATACAGAGAAGAACTCGATCAGCTGAACATACCAACCACTTTAGACGCAGCCCTCGGACCAGACATTGACATCACTCTCCAAATCTTAGTATTTTTAAGGAAACATAATTTGTACAACTTAATTTAAAAAAAAAAAAAATATTGTAATTCTTAATTAATTATCAATTGTAATTTTTATAATGTCTACGACTAATGGCCTTTGACGCCGATGTCTATTGATCAATAAAAAAAAAAAAAAAAAAAAATAATAAATAGGCCTATAGGAATCTAGGATTTATATACTACAATATGTTTTTTTGCTATTTCAGATTATTGCTTTTGTCAATTATGTCCACGTTTTTTTTATTTTGTATATTTATTACTTTTATATATCTTGGACAGAATGCATATTTATGAATATTTTGACTTTAAAATCTCGAAAATTCAAGTTTTATGGTATATTTATTTATGGAATACGTAATTTGATATCATGATGTCGAACGGAGTTTTAGTAAATATTTCATAATAATACCTAATTGAATAGAAGATCGTTCAATTTTAAAATTTTAAAACACCATGTAATTGTTTCGTGTACCTAATACATTTGAATAACGTTAATACTTAATAATAATAAGAATAATATTTTATTACTTACATTTAGAATGCGTTATTTTCATATTTTTGGTGTGTATATACTCGTCATATTTTTAACAAGCCAAATACATAATTTACAATTTTTTATTGCATATAAATCCTTGTTCTAATAATAACAAATATTGGTAAACTGATTATTTAAAACTAATCATGTTATTACTTATTCTACTTATAACTTATAAGTTATAGTAAATCTTATTAGAACAATATATTATATAGCAATATAGGATATAGCCATATAGATTATAGGTAGATATTAGCCATTACCTACTATGGCGTATTGTTTAACTTAATATTTTTTGTGTAGGTATAACTTTACTATAGTAGAATATTTTATACTTCCAAACTCTAATGAAGACGTTAGAACATAATTATCTGTATCTATAAGTGGTTTTTTAGGATATTTCAATTTTTTGTAAGTTTTGCGTATACAATATAGCGCTAATTAAAAATGCTCATATTACGTTATAACTCAAAACCGAATCATCGTACAAAACTCACTTACAAACACACTAACATACTACACAGACAATGTTTTTAGCATCTAGCTTCATAGGAAATAAGTCGATTCACTCTAATTGTTTAACAAGTGAAGCTATAAACGTGAATTGCAATTGAGCTCGTTTAGTGTTACGCATTCGTAAGATGGCGACAAGACAACAAATACGAGTGTCGCGTCCTCGGCCTTTTCCATTATAATAATATGTTTTTGGTTTTGCTATCTATCTATCTGTTATAGTTAATGGCTAAGGAATTTTATTATATTATACGTTCACCAGTTCCTCTGTCATTCCTTACAACTTTCTCCCACTGAACAACTTCTGTCATGTTTATCACTCACATCGGTCAACTATAATTATTTATATCGTCGTTCTTTACGATATTTTTGAATAATTTGGGTTTTTCCGACTGCCGCATCGACGCGTCACAATATCGACGACCGACGTTGATGCTATAGATAATTTTGATATGACTCTCCGTGTTTGTGTGGCGCGAGGTGTGGACGTGCGGTGTGCAGTACGCCAGTACTCCTTTGTTCATGACGTGTAAGCAATTCTTCGTTTTCGACTCTTCGTTGTCTTATGCAGTCTTGACTTCTTGAGTCTTTCGTTTTTCGTCTTTTTTAGTTCCGTCGTTCCGTATTAAATAATTTTATATATTATTATTTATTATACAACATTATTGCAATTATACGCACTTTTATACATTCTGTTCGGTAATTAAATATAATTATTATTAAGTAGGTATTTAAATATAATAATAGTATGATATCTAGTTAAAAGATATATGTGTTAGGTACCTACATGAACACTAATAAAGTAAAAGTAGACAGTAGTAGATAATATACTATAAAAATAATTGCTCAATGTAATTTGTAAGTTGGTAAGCTAAGTAGCGTATAGTGGCGGCAGTGAGAATCTTAGTTTTAACAAAATTTCATGGAGGTACCTACTTAAGAATTGTAATTTTTATTTTAAATTTGTAAATACATATAATATTTAATATACTAATTGTCCTACATTAATATACCTACATGATTGTCGATTAATAACATAAATTTACATAATCATTTTTTATATCTTGTATAACAGATATTAAATAAATTAATTTAAACTTACTCATGTTAAGTATAAATTGTTCTAGGTGTCTATTAATACTACAAATACTTTTTGTAGTAGATATTTGACCATAAGCCAACCCCTATAAGTAATACTTTAAAATTGCATAATTAATAGATAATCTGCAATTATATATAAAGGTATAACTATATTTTATAAATTTATTTATATGATATTTTACAAAGAATTTATGGTGTTTATGTTTTTATGAAATCAGTGATCTAGGTACTTACTGTTGTTTTTAAATATACATAATCGTGTCTTTCAATATAATTATTTTTGTGTGAGTTGTTTAATTTGGAGATTAGTAAATTATCATAATATTAGAGTTCTATAAGTATTAACTTATCTAGCTACTTATTTTCATTTAATTGTATTTTTAGTTAATTTTTCAGTTTTGTATAAAATAAAATTACTTATACATCTAATACATCCAATACATCTCATATTTCTTGATTTAATTACAGAATAATGTACTTTTTATAAAATATATATTCTTCTAATAGAAATTGGTACATTAATTTTGATATATATTTTTTTTTATCAAGTTAAGTATAAAAATATTTTAATTTCAGTAATAATGGCTTCCTTTTATAAAAATACTAAGCTGAGTAAAAGAACAAAACAAAGAAGAGTACACGAAGAACTAAAAAGTTGCACTGTTGGGTTTAGCTCTAAAGAAAATAATACTGAAAATAGTGGACCTTATCTAGTTGAAACTAGTTTTCCAAATAGTGATCATTCTGAGCCTAGCATCATGTCTCAATCTAAATCTAATGATATTAATCTTAATATAGACATAATGAATACAGATGGGGATGAAGAATTATACTATTCTAGTGATGAAGTGTCTTCTGAAATAGATGAAAATGAATGGGATGAAAATTATGATAATCCTATTGATAATCTTTCTCATTTTAAATTTTTGATCATGAATTGGGCCATTAATTGTAATATCCCACAGATAGCTCTAAATAAACTACTAACTTTACTAAAAAAACATAAATGTTTTGAAGCTCTTCCTAAAGATTCTAGAACTATAATGTGCAAACATATTGAAAAGCCTTTAGAAATTCAAACAATTGTACCAGGAAAATATTATCATTTTGGAATTTTAAATGGTATTGAACAAAATTTTACTGAATGTGTTAAAAATGATAATAAAATAGAAATAGTTATAGGTATTGATGGCTTACCATTGTATAAAAGTAATTCTGAACAATTATGGCCCATTTTAGCCTATATTCGTCCTGATAATATTAATGTATTTCCAATAGGAATTTATTGCGGAAGAGAAAAACCTGCCAATAGTAATGATTTCATTCAACAGTTTGTTGATGAAGCCAACGTTTTATATCAGAACGGGATCTGTATTAAAAATAAAACATATAATTTCTCTGTTCACACATTGTGCTGTGATTCTCCTGCTAAATCGTTTGTGCTTCAAATCAAAGGCCATTCAGGCTTTTTTTCTTGTACTCGCTGTGAGGTAGAAGGAGAATATTTATCCAACAGAATTTGTTTTCCTTACAATTCACCATTAAACCGTCCACAAAATAGAACACACCAAAATTACTTATTACAATCAAAAGAGGAACATCATGTTGGTGATGTTTCGATTATTACAACTTTGCCCAATTTTAATGTTGTAACTTCTTTCTCTCTAGACTATATGCACTTAGTATGTTTAGGTGTTGTTCGAAAGCTAATGTTATTATGGATTAAAGGACCTTTAAATATTCGTTATCCATCTTGGAAGATTAAAGAAATATCAAACTCTCTCCAAACCCTTAAAAATAAAATGCCATGTGAATTTGCTAGAAAGCCAAGAACACTTGATGAAATATGTCGTTGGAAGGCCACAGAATTTCGTACTTTTTTGCTTTATATAGGGACGTTTGTCACAAAATCAGTTTTAAAAAAAGAACATTGGAAACATTTTTTGAGTTTAAACTTGGCTATGGTGATACTTATTAGTCCTGATTATGGGCAATATATAAATCATGCACGATTATTATTAGACGACTTTGTTAAAAATTTTGAGTTAATGTATGGGCGTCACCTGATTTCTCATAATATTCATGGTTTAATCCATTTATGTGATGATTACAATCTGTTTGGTCCATTAGACAACGTTTCAGCATTTCCTTTTGAGAATTATATGGGATCCTTAAAGAAAATGTTAAGAAAACCCGACAAGCCCCTACAACAAATCATTAAAAGATACAATGAAAAATGCTTACTGATGTCCAATACAAAATACAAATATATTGTACTTAATTTCACTGGTATTCATAATCGTGGACCAATTATTGGAAATAATATGAAAGGAATACAATTTTCTACTTTAAAATTAGAAAATATGACAATAAAAACCAAAGTTGATGCTGATTCTTACTTAATTACTAAAGATAAAAGATTAATTAAAGTTGTTAATATAATTTCTAATGAAAAAAAAAGTGATGGTATTTTAATATGTAAATACTTTCAAAATAGTTATCCATTATTTCTTAACCCTATTAGATCTATAGATTTAGATATTTATGTTGTAAAGAACTTATCCAATGACCTTATTTCATGTCATATTAATGATATAAGCAAAAAAATGATACTTATTCCTCATAATAATGAACAGATTTTACTTCCATTGTTACATTCTACTAAAAATTCTATATCAGTTGTAGATAATAATATAAAAGTACTGTTATATAATAATGTAAAATGATTATAGTTTAATATTATATTATTTATATTCAAGAATTACAAATTAACTATATAGATACATATTATACATTAGTATTTACATTTCATAACTACCTTTAATTGTTTATTTTTATTATTACTTATTTACTTGTATAATACTCATGTTATTCAAATGTAATATTTAAGATAATGGTTAATGTATGACAATTAGTATATATATTATATAATTTAATTTGTTTAATAGTAAAATAAACTAGTATTAATGAAAATAAATACATTTATTTTTTATTATCTAAGGACATTAATTTAAGTTAACAAAAAATAAAAATTACTACATACTAAACTTAGAAAAGAAAAATTAGATTATTAAGTAACCTTTTAAATTATAGAAAATGTGGTCTGTTGTTGCGTTTGATGACGATGAAACAGTAGAAGCTGTACCAGCATATTGGTTTCAAAAAAATAAATGTGCTTGGCCAAAAAGAAATTATAAAAAATTTTTAGACCGTAGAATTCAACCTAATGAAGTTGACTTTGATTTTTTACCTGCTCGAAAATTAGGAAAAAATATCGGTATGTATTAAAATATGTTAAATTTATATTTAGGTTTAGTAATTTTATTTTAAATAAATATGTAGGTAGAGAAATATATAACTTATACCTATTAGTATTTGTTTGAAATTTTTCAGACACTTATTTGATTGCTAGAGAAAAGGCAAAAAAAGCCGAGAATACTTCTGATATATCAACTCATGAATCATCTCAAGAAAATTATCCTAATTCTTCTATATCTATGAAACAGTTTAAAAAAAGTAAAATTAATGATGGCAAAAAATTACAAGAATCTGTATTATGGAGTCCATGTAGCGAAATTGGTTGTAAGTTATTTTCAGTAATATTATTGATATTATTTTTAGTTTAAAAAAAATCTTCAATACTTATCTATTTAACACTGTAATTACCTAATCAAAAATTTTAAATATATGTTTTGTAGTTGATGACGATGATAGCAATACAGATCCCAATTATCATCCATGTGAAGAACAAAAATCTTCTGGTAATGTATATTATGATTATAATCTTAATTGTTGTATAATTTTATAGATATTTTAAATATTAATTATTATGTTTCTTAATGTTATTTATTATAGAAACACAGTCTTCTTTAAATGAAGTATTATCTACACCTGTAATATTACAAAATGTATCAAATAATTATCAATGTAATTCTAAAGTAAGAAAACAACTCATATTTGATACAAAAATTCATAGTCAGAGTTCATTGAGCAACTATACGAAGCTACCAAAATGTACTGGTAAGTTAAAAGTTGGAAATAGGTGATATTATAATATATGAAAAGGTGTAACAGAAAGTACTGACTAATGAAATAACTTTTGTTCTAGTTAATATTTCAATTTTTTTTTTATTTATTTAATTTAAACAAATGCTACATTTATTAGTATATAATTTTATTTTTAGTGATAAAAATATGAAAAATTAATTTTATATTATCTATTTTTCAAATGAATGAGTGATTTACTCCACAATTATATTGATACTTTAAAAAATTGTAATAAATAAACTACTGAACTTGGTTTTATTAATGTTTTTACCATCAACATTCTTTTTTATAATCAGATGTAGGCACACTTATTATTATATGAACAACAGTTCTCCTACAAGATGTTAATTTAAATAAATAAAATACAAATACATTGTAGGTGCTAAACATGTATAAATTCTATTATAATTTCTATTTCAACACAATCTTTATTTAATAGTTACATTTTATGAATTTTTATTTCCAAAACTAATATTTATATTGTATTATTGTATGTATAACTATATGTATATAGATATTAATTTGTATTATGTTTCTAATAATTAATTTAAAATTAGTATGATAATTTATTTTAGGATCTGAACCAACAAAATTCCTGTTAAAACCATCGTCATCTGCAGTATCAAATATTAGGAATGAAGATTTAACTAAATCACAAACTAATTTCTATGGATCATCAGAAATTATTTTAACACCATCATCGCCATTTAAAATATCAATTGTTGATGAAGGCCAAGGAATTACTGGATTGCAATCAAATGTCTCTCAATTATCATCTGTATTAAGTTCATCTGATAAAAATGGTAAACATATAAGTATATTTAATGTACATAGCAATCATAGCATCAGTATAATGCTTTAAATTGAACCTTAAATACCTGTAGTTAATTTTGTATTTATAAAATATTAATAATAGATTTCATACTATGTGAATTATTAACTTGAAAACTTAACTTTTTTAATTTCATTGATTTAAACTTAGATATAATTATCCGATTCAATTTCTTTTAAAAAAAATAAATTGTTTATGATGCTTATTTTTGATAATAATAATCAAGGCTCGGAACTTTATGCGCTAAAAAGTACTCAAATATGCGCATACATATGCGTTAAAAAACATCATAATATGCGGTAAAATATGCAGTAATAATTTGGAAAATATGTAGTAAAAACATGCAATTTATTAAATAAAAAATAATTT